AGTTTTTGCATTTCATAGGTATATAATATCCTGGTGATTGCAAAATAAAAAAATTAATCAAAAAGGAAGTATGACAGTTTTGTGAAACATAAATTGTCCAAATGGTGAGCTTGGAGGTAATTACCATATGTATTTTATTAAGTAAAGAAAGACATCATGTCTGAAGAAGAGGCTGATTGCATTCTCTATTACTGCTTTTGTCATTTTACCAGTTTGAACATAGTTTTCATATACTAAAAATGCAAATGTCTGATTGATGTAAAACCTTTGTAGGACTGCAAAGCATAAATAATTCACTGCATCTTAGACCAGTAGTGGCATATATGTTTGGAATACAAAGGTTTTAGGAAACTCATTTCATGCTTATTGTTTGTCTAATCAAAAAATTTTAATTGCTTAAGGGGCCTGATTAACTTTTGAAAAAAATTGCACCAACCACCCTTCCCCCCCATGTAATTCTGTTTGTATATGTCTATGAAATATTCATCTGATGACGAAGCAGTTTGGCAGTTTAGCTTGGAAATAAACTTCCTTGGCTTGTACTCTCTTGACAAACCATCGTTATCAATTTTCATGAAACAACCGGAAAGGTAAAACAATGCAAACAGGTTTTGGAACAAAAAGAAATGGACAGATCACCTAGAATTTGACCTGAAAAAGTCCCAAAACAAAACTGAAAGTATATATTCTGATTGAATTCCTTCAAAAATAATGAAAAATGTATTATGCAAGAGAAATAACTTATTTTCAAGATCTTTTTTAATGTTTGCGGTTTGTGCAAAAATAAGACATATTAAAAGTGGAATATGTAGTGTTCATCCACCATGTTTGGGTTAAAGTAGCCTAAACAGTGAGACACAGACTTCTTTCTCCCCAGCCATTTGGACCAGCTGAGAAACAGTCCATGTAACATTTAAGAATAACAATAACATGCATGTAACATGAAATATCTTGTTTTGTTTTTATTACACTGATTCATTAAAATGTATTTATTTGAAAACAGAAAAGTGAACTTTTAACTTCTCATTAGTAAAGAAATTCTATTGTGTCTTCATCACATAGCAATGTAGGCATGTAGTGTTTAATGAGTAGCAAAAAATGTACAAAGTAATATTCGATCAATCAGTAAAAGTTTTACTGAATCAAACAGGATATCAAATACCTAAAATAAATTTACTCCAAATTTTGCACTGCTTCAGCAAGACAGATTATGCATTAGAAAGAAACAAATTATAAATGATCGGTAACAATCTGTGATTGCCACTTTGGCCTCAACCAAAGATTGTCAACATTCTTTATGGCCCTATACCAACACTGCAAATGTTTTAGACGAGGGACGCCCCCAACCACGGTTCAGTCTCTAGCCTTCATTCCCACAGACTCTCTACTACATATAGGTGTGTGCAGTACAGCAATGTAGTGCTCAATGTAGGTACATGAGGTATGACTTCCCCTCTAAGTGTATCCCCTCTACACTAATAACAATACAAAGTAAAAAAAAAAAAAAAAACAACAAAAAAGTATCGTCTGTAATATGTGAAAATCCATGACCACAATCCAATTTAAGCCAAGTTGCGAAACAGAGACACCCAGGTCACCTGGGGAGCAAGACATGCTGCCAAGATTATGGAGATTATGGAGGTGAATGTTCTTCAGCATTACCTGTTTTATACTCTTATTAAGCCTAAGCATAGGCTACACCGCTCCATGCAAGGGTTATTATAAAGAATAAATAAGTCATGACATTGACATCTTAAACTGTTTCTCTTAAAAGGAATACCATGTAAATAATGATAGCTTTGTAAATTAACAATTTTGAAATTAAAAAAGATCATTGAATAAGTCAGAGGCAAGAGCACTGAAGTTTCTTACCTTTTTTCTGGGTTCTCATCAGACACAACTACTTGTGTGCCAACTTTCATCCTCTGTGCTCCAGGGGTGTTTACTTACTTCACTATTTAAGGCCCATCCCTCACTGTTGGGAGACAAATATCACCTCCCTCCCTCTTCACCTGCATCTCTGTCTTGTAGCTGACAGATGTTTGGTATTCATGAATATTCTGTGCCCTGCTAGACCCCGTTGTTGTTGGAGCGGCTTTGATCTTTATTTCAAAAGAAAGTTCTTTATGTGCCAACACAAGAGACTCAGTGGCTTGCTACATTTGCTGTTGTAAACTGTTGAAAGTATGAATAGAGGGAGTGATTTGGAGCTTACAGTAAACCAACATAAACATATGGATCTATCAGATAAATGAGAAAGTAAATCATTTGAAACAAACCTGTTTTTCTGCTCAGAGATCAACTGAAAATAATCTGTAAGCAAGGTGAATACAAACTAAAATGTTTCTACCAGAAACTATAGAATGTATGTTTTTTGGAATCATTTCCAACATTAACTGCAAATATTTATTGTTATTCTGCTAATGTTGAAAAAGCACAATTTCACAATTGTGTTATCATAAAATCAGAAATGAACTTAAATGAATAAGCTTGTTTATGCGATTGTCATGATGTGTGGTTTGTGACGATGAGGAAGACGCAGACAGACCTAGGTAAGATGAAGATGAATGATGGGTTTTAATGAAGACTGGAACAGCTCAAACAGTCCAAATCAAGCAGACAGCACAGTGAACCTGGAGCTAAGCTAGTTACTGGTAGCAACTGATCTGACAATGTGACTACAACTGAGAGCTGAAGCCAACTGACAGCGTCAAGTTAATAATAAACATGAGTGAACAGGTGCCCGTCCCTGATTGGTTCCAAGAAAACGACGGCGACGTCCAATTGGCTGCCTTCCGGAGGTGACGGACATAAAAGCTGCTGAAGCGGACTTCCTGTGATCCATCCTCTATTCATCTCCACCGGTCACACCTCTTTCTTTTGTTCACCTGTTGTCAGAGTTCTGGAGTGTAGGAGTGAGCTGTCG